ATCTTCTGGCTGTAGCTTTTTATACTGTGTTTCGACTCTTTCCTTTTTTTTTTTTTTTTTTAATAAGAAACTGTCTGTATTTCAAACAGTGATTTGGGGAAGTAGCACATTTATCTTAAACCCTTTTTGAACACCCTCATTAGGATTGTTCCAGAATGGATTTGGATTGTAGTTTAGGGAACCTGTTGATTTCCTTGTAAGTGTCTGTTTAGTCTTCAGTTTAAGTGAGTATTGTCTTGCGAGGTGCTACCTTACAGCCCCTTTTCCTGATGGGATTAAGAGCAGATTTGGTCCTGATCAGGTAGCAGCAGTTTTTATTCTGGAAATTTGTGTATTGAAGAGGTATAGATATTTTAGTTCACACACTTGCCTTTCTGAGGCGTTTTTAGGGCCCTGAGCAGTATGTAGTGTACCCAGGCTGTCTTTTAAGATCACACCATGATGTTACCAAACCTAATACATAATTTTTATACTTGAAAATGAGGATTTATTCTTTCTCTTACTTTATGGTTGCTTTAGAATGACAGATGAAGAAAGAAACGAATTAGAAAAGCAAGTGAAAACTCTTCAAGAAGGATATAATTTATTATTTAGTGAATGTCTGAAACAGCAGGAAGAATCACAAACCTCAGGAGATATCAATGTAGAGGAGAAGGTAACATTTATTAAACATGGGGCTGTTTCAGAAAGTAGTTGCTGCATGATTGTGGAGATAGTGTGTCAATAATCTATTGCCTTGAATTTTTACATAGATAAAATATGGACTGAGTTGTTTACATGTTTAGATATTTCAGTGTCGATTATTAAGTGCAATCTTATACTTGCTATTCATTAGTTTGTATGACATCTTAATCTCTGCCTTGCATGGTAAAAAAAGATCCATTTCTCTAACTCTTGTTTAAAGGCCATTTTCTGCTATAATAGGTATATTATGATAAAGTATGTTAGAGGCTACAAATCATTTCAAGTGGCAGCATTGATTTAGAGATAGCTGTGAGAGCTTCTCGAGTAATATGGACCCATCTATTATAGTGAAGGTGCCCTTCTGTCTTCTTAAAACAGATGTCTTTTTAAAGTTTTTTTTTTTTAATTTGGCAGTGCATATCAATGTGTCAGTCACAGCGTTCGATATTTTAAAAGTTGACCTTATATTTAATTCCACTTACCCTGAGAGTACTTTCCACATAATTGTCACATTTGGAGAGTATGTAACCATTTTTTGGGTTCCTTAATTTTTAAATGTCTTTTAGGTAGTATGCTGTAAACATCAGTAGCATGGGGTTTGATATTCTCTTTCATGTCACTAGACATTAATCTCACGCAAATACAGAAAGCATGACTTGCCCTCTAGGTGTGTGTTCCGTTCTCTCATTGTCATCATCCACTCTGCTGTGTCCTCACTAACCTTGTTAATGTACACGATATGAAGTTTTCAATTCGCAGATGCATGTTGTTTCAAAGCTTTTATCACATCCTGTGCTGTTGAATAGATCACTGACATAGATCACTTGTGCATTTGAGCTGCCTAACATTCACAGCATTGCTGCGCCTTGGTAAGTAGAGGATTTTTATGATGAAGTGCTTAAAAACTCAAAACCAAGAACTAAGTTGCATGACGTTCTGCCCACCCGTGTGCAATGGACCGACTTGAAACTGTCTCATTTCCCTTTCAGCTGGATAAAGTGATTGCAGGCACCGTTGATCACACAACTGGAGAGGTCCTTTCAGTCTTTCAGGCAGTGTTAAGAGGCCTCCTTGACTACGACACAGGAATCAGGTTGCTTGAGACACAGCTGCTGATTTCTGGTCTAATTTCACCAGAATTAAGAAAGTGTTTTGACCTCAAAGATGCCAAAAGTCATGGTCTTATTGACGAACAAATTCTGTGCCAGCTCCAAGAACTAAATAAAGTTAAGGAGATTATTTCTGCTTCATCATCTAGCGAAATTCCTGTACTCAATGCTTTAGCTCAAGGCATGATATCAGAGTCCATGGCCGTTAAAGTTCTTGAGATCCTGTTTTCTCCTGGATTTCTCACTATCCCAGCCACTGGTGAACACTTAACCTTGCAAAAGGCTTTCCAGCAGAACTTGGTTTCCTCAGCATTGTTTTCTAAAGTACTAGAAAGACAAAATATGTGCAGAGATCTTATTGACCCCTTTACCTCTGAGAAGGTGTCTTTAACAGATATGGTACAAAAAAGTATTTTACAAAAAAATACTGGAATGTGGCTTCTACCTGTGAGACCACAAGAAGGGGGTCGGATAACATTGAAGTGTGGAAGGAGCATCAGCATCCTCAGAGCCGCTCACGAGGGTCTCATAGACCGTGAGACCATGTTTCGGTTGTTAGGCGCACAGCTGCTGTCTGGTGGTCTGGTCGAGGGCACCTCTGGTCAGAAGCTGACTGTCGAAGAAGCCTTGGCAGAGGGCGTGATCGACGGAGACACCGCCCACAGCATTCTCGCCTATCAGGTCCAGACAGGCGGCATCATCTCCTCCAACCCCGCTAAACGCCTGACAGTGGATGAAGCGGTGCAGTGCGACCTCATCACGTCCAGCAGTGCTCTTCTGATCCTGGAGGCCCAGCGAGGCTATGTTGGCCTCATCTGGCCACACTCTGGAGAAATATTCCCCACATCTTCTTCCTTGCAGCAAGAGTTGATTACAAATGAATTGGCCTACAAAATTCTGAATGGCAGGCAGAAAATAGCTGCCCTGTATATTCCAGAAAGTTCTCAGGTTGTTGATGTGGATGTCGCTGAGCAGCTAGGAATTATAGACAACAACACAGCATCGATTTTAAAAAACATAGCACTGCCAGATAAAATGCCAGACTTAGGAGATTTAGAAGCTTGTAAGAATGCCAGAAGATGGCTCTCTTTTTGTAAATTCCAGCCATCAACAGTTCATGATTATAGACAAGAAGAGGACAGTTTTGAAGGAGAAGAACCAGGGGCAACTCAGAACTCAGAACAGACTAAGAAATTATTCTTATCTTACCTGATGGTCAACAGTTACATGGATGCGCGCACAGGGCGGAGGCTGTTGATGTACGATGGAGACTTGCAGGAGGCTGTCGGCATGCTCCTGGATGGCTGCAGTGCCGAGATTGGTGAGGGTGCAGCAACAGAAGACAGTTTGGGTGCCATAGACATCCCTGGCCTGTTTCTTAATGGTGCTGCCAGTAAGGGGAAGGATGGATATACAGCTTTACCAGCTAGTTCTGATAAGTGTCATGGTAGAGAACCTGGCCATAGAGAGACTCCTGAACATCAAAAGAGTGTCATAGATGAGGAGTTTGGTGAAATGGGAAATAATGCTATCAGTAGTGAATTATGTCAGTCAGAAAGTATGGCAGACATGACACCAACTGATCCTGAAGGTAACACTGTGCTCACCATGTGTGTTCCCAATCCTGTGTCCTGTGAACGTACAGAGGGCAGCACACTTCTGCATGACTGTGAAAACATACTTAAAAACTGTGAAAATCAAAGTCAACTTGAAACAAATGAAAATGCAGATGGATGTACTTATTCTAAAAACATTCAAAACTTTGCATGTGATCTGGTAGCAAGTCCTGTTGGGAATTCAAAAACTGATAGACTCTGTGATGTGAGTGAAACAAAGAATAACATAAATCATGATTCATCCAGCTTTGTCTACTCTTCCAGGCTGAGTGCCTTATTACGTCACGATAAACTGAGACACACTCAGAATTTTAATGATGTTTGCTCCCCAGACAGTGATGGAAATCAGTACGAAGCCGCCTCCTCATCAGCAAGTGACCAAAGCATGTTATTAAATCAAAGAACAGGAAAAAGTGTTGAGGACCAGTTTCTCGGAATCGCAGCTATTAACATCACCTTACAGGGCGAATGCGGGGAGCAGAAGCCTTTCAACACTGCTTGTAGTCAGCCTCAAGTACAGTATCACGGTGATGAACACATGTCAGATACTTTGGATGAGAGTGAAGAAATGCAAACTGCTTCCCAGAGGACACCTACAAGCAGGCAGAATGAATCTGAAGTGGAAGAGTTCTCCTGTGCCATGGCCCAGCAGTACGGTACCGGCGGCACAAGTGCATCTCATGTCTGTGGTGCACGTGTGCTTGAAGAAGCCATCAGTGCCAGTGACTATGAGACGTCACTGCTGGACGATCCACAGAGTGGCACAGGAACAGACACAGATAGTGATGATAACTTTTATGATACCCCCTTGTTTGAAGACGATGACCATGATTCTCTGCTTCTCGAAGGTGATGACCAGGATTGTCTGCAGCCTGAGGACTATGACACACTGCAAGAGGAAAATGATGTGATGGGTTCTCCTGCTGATGTTTTCTATGATACTTCAAAAGAGAATGAAAGTTTTGAGGTTTCCAACTTAAGTGTCCGAGGCAAAGCACAGTGTCATCAAGGTTTTCTCATGGCTATTGAGAAAGCTGAAGTAGACGCTAATAACAAAAAGCATTTAAGTTCATTTGAGTCAGACAAGGAGAAGGAGTGGCCAATGGAAACCTTATCGGAAAGGGAACACACAAGTGACCTTAAAGGTGGGGAGTCTGACTCGTTGATTGATTGTGAAAGTGCAGGAAGGAAAGGGAGCTATGGTGATTCATCAGAGTTTGATGACACTGGCAGTTGGAGAAGAAAAGAGTATGTAACAGGCCAGCCCGATACTAACCATTTTGATTCTTTGCAAAGTGAAGACAGTTATGGGAGTTTTATGTGTGACAGTAATGATGAAGACGGTGATGGTGATGGTGATGATAATGGTGCTGACAGAGCAGGAGGGGTGGGAGATGGGAGTGACAAGTGTGAAAATCACCAGTTGTGTGCCATGGCTGTAAAGGAAAGTAGTAATGAAAATCAAAGTGGTGAAATGCTTCTCTGGGATAAAATGCATAATTATAGTTCTCTAGAAACACAGCAAAGTGTAAGTGTGTTACAGTTAGAATCCACTAGTGAGAGCAGTTTAGCTACTGAAAGAAACAATCTTCAGGAACACACAACTGGGGTTGTTGGAAAAAACAGAGAAATTCTGTTGAGTCATGGGGTAGTACTTACAGATACATTGCTGCCTAATGCCAAAGACGCTGAATCAGGAACACTCTGTGGGCCTCAAGGTACTTTACAGAGTAGCATCAGTTCACCTTCTGAATTAGGGGGTGATCTAACGAACACAAAGAACAAGGTGTCCCCAAAGCCAGAATCTATCAATCTTGAGAATATGACAGCCCAAATCAACCCATCTTTTGATGAAATCATTGGATCCCAGCCCGAATTAATAGGGAAAGCTGTGGAAAACCAGTTGTTACTCACAGCCTCTAAAAGTGCTAGAGATGGCCAGCGAAATGAGAGAAGCCAAATGAAAGGGAAAGATGGCAAAACTGGTGTAATGGAAGGCACTGTGTCCACCCAGAAAATGCAAGTAGGTAAAGACATGCTTAAAAAAGATCCAGAAGAAGAGGAAAATAAATATCTCAAACATTCACTTAATATAAGTACAAGGAAGAGCCTCAATTTAGTTAAAAGTCAGCATCCATTTCCTCAAATAATGAGCAGCGAAGATGGTGGTCAGAGAGGAAGCCCTGTGAAGGCAATTGAAACTCTTAAAGAGGCACCAAAAAGCGTACAAACAGTGGTCAGCAGAAGTCCCGTTCAGCTTGAGGATCTTGAAGACATATTTCAGAAATCAGTTTCCAAGGTGATCAATGATGACCTTACTCCAGACATTGTATTACCTGAAGAGAATGCCACTGCTGAGAAAGGTGCATTCACCAGTGGACCTGGGAAAGAGCTTGATCCGCTTACTTTCCTAAAACACTATGCTGAAAATATAGAAGCAAAAGACGTGCTGAAACCAAATGAAGATACTCCCAGCCATGTTTTAATAGCTGATTCACCTATGAGAGAAGGTTTACAAGTAGGAGTTGATAGTACAGAAGAGAATTTGATTTCTACACAAGAAGACTGGCCTCGAAATAAGATGCTGCAGCAGAGTGGTCTTATTACTGAAGAAAGTGCTTCAGAAGGAGGAATAAAAATTCCTCAGTTCACACCAGAAAACAGTGAAATCGTACTTCCAGGCGTGACCCTTAGAGATGGAGAAGATATTGGGAAAACTACTGATTGTATGAAGCCAGAGGTCTGTATGAATGAAATAAGAAATGACAGCTCTACTAGTACTTTAGGTGCTGACTGCTCATTCTTGGAAATTGATGGGAAGAAAGAAAGAATTGAGAAACAGCCACCAAAAGAACAAACTCTGTCTCCAAAACACCAAGAAAAGGTGAGAATGAGTACGGAACCATCTCAGGTGTTTGTGGAGGATGTAAAGGATATCTTAAAAAGCAGAATGAAAAGTAATGTGAATCCTCAAGAGGTGGGTGTCCCTTCAGCTTGTGCAGACCCTGAAACTTTAATTCACGATTTAACAAAAAGGATTAGCTTCTCATCGCAGTTGGCAAATGAAGCATCTGATATGCCCATCGACTCTAAAATCAGTGACTGCCCTGAACTCCTCCTCCCCATGAATAACTTGTCAGAGCTGAAGGTAGAGGGTAGAGATGATCTTTTTTCTGTTGCAAATATTAACTCTGAATGTCTCCTGGATGTACTGAAGCAAAATCCATATAGCCCGAAAATTCCAGGACTGTTGGAGTTGATGAGAAATTTAACCCAGATGGAATGTTATCTAGAGCAAAGAAGTATTTCATCTAAAGCACTTCCAGTACAACTTGAAAATGCTTTCTATAAGCTGCTTGCTGATAGATATTCAGAAGAAGAACAAATTAGAGACTTGAGTCGAAAAGTATGTACCACTTCTGAGATGGAGGAAGAAAAGCCACACAGTTTTGGTGATGTTAAAAGCCAAGAAGGAAACCGCTGCTCTCCTGATTTACAAACCATAAAAGAAGTGCAGCTGGAGAGCTCTGTTGTGCGTGCATCGGCATTGCCAAGAGATGAGAGATTTGAAGACTGCTGTAGTGATTTCCCAAAGCGTTTGGAATATATTGCTGGATCAAGAGAAGTCATTGCTGGAGATAGCTCGATGGAAAAAGTAAGTTGATTGTTTACATTCTATACAGAAGGTATGTTGTATTAGGAATTATGTATCAGCTTTCCCATTTCATTAGGTTATTTTATGTTAACTTTCCCATCACTGAGCCACAGTACCCGGCACCCACAGCTTATAGGAGGAGTTGTCAGCTCACAGTTTCAAGAGATTCCGTACAAGGTTAGCAGACACGGTCTGGCACAGCTGCTCGGTTCACGGCAGCCAGAGAGCAGAGCACGGCTAGCTGTGCCGGTGAGGTGAGCTGTGGTGGCCTGGCCACACTCGGCAGCCCACCACGCCGTGTGCTGAGAATTTCTTAATCCAGAGAAGTTGCTACATCAGGATTGACAGTCACATACCTGCATGAAACATTCCGGAGTAACCCCTTATGTTTGGTTTTCAAAACGTGCATGAAGGCTACTAAGTTCAAATGTTCAAATTTGTTTCAGTTTTCCAGTGAACTGCAGCAGTGTTCGTGGCACACGGAAAAAATGCATGAGTATTTAGCTTTCCTTCAAGATATGAAGCCTCCTTTAGACAACCTTGAGTCTGTGGGTAACAATCTAGAAGCTTTGAAGAATCAACTTAAACAGCTGGAGGTAAGAATTGTCTGCTGCTTGTTATTCGGCTCTCCGTGACTCTGACAGATGCCTCAGATAATGAAGGGTTTGGCGGATCCCCTTCCTGACCACTGATCCTGGTGCTTTACGCTTGTGGAGAGGCAGCAGATCACAGTGACAAGTGTGTGGCAGAGGAAAGCCACTTAGCTCACAAAGCCATGAGAGTGTGGTGGTGCACCTATAAACCCAGCACTTGGGAGGCTGAGGCAGGAGGATGGCTGCGCTTTTGAGGTCAACCTGGGTTACACTTTGCTGAACTGCAGAGTGAAACACTGTCTCAAAAATACCACAAAAACAAAGCAAATCACCACTTACCTTGCAACCGGGAACCAAAGAGAGGCCTGGTTAGCACAGTCCACTTCCAGTACATGTCATCAGTGACCCAGAACCTCAGCCACTAAGGTCATTTCTCTTCAAGTTTCTAAGGCTTCTCTGTGGCACCAATCTGGGGACAAATCCATGGCCCTTAGGAGATGTTTCCCCTCTGTACTGTGGGATCTGGCTGCTTCAGATGATATCAGTTAATATGAAGTTGGGAAAAAATGGAGTTTTCAGTTTCATGTTTAATGGAGTGTCTTATGTTTTGTATTTATATTTTTCTTTGAGTAGTAAATATATTTGGGACATATTTCTTTGTAGACATTTGAGTTGAGACTGTCTCCAATTGCTGTGATTTTAAGAAAGGATATGAAATTGGCAGAAGATTTCTCAAAGTCTCTTCCCAGTGATTTTCCTAGAAGATATCTTGAAGAATTGCGTGTGAGCCACCAGAGTTTGCAGACTGCCTTTTCTTCCCTGAGCACTGTGTCTTCAGAAAGAATGGAGCAGATCAAGCTTGCAGTTGACTCTGAAATGGTGGGTACAGAAAGGGCAGTTTCAGAAGCTCTGAGTATTTGTATATCTAATTGTAAGATATTTTTAGTGTTCTTTAAAACATAATCACTATTTACAAGACTTTGAAATTTAGAAGATAAAAAAAATGAATGCATAATTTTATTTTCTAGTCCAAACTAGAAGTTACTTATGAAGAATTTCTCCATAAACTTAAGTCATTCTCAGACTTGATAACAGAGAGGAGCAGATCTCTGAAGAATATTGAGACCCAGAAGCCTGAAGACACTGAACATGTAAATAAAAATTTGGAGTTTCTTAAGGCAAGTGTCAAAGTAAATGACAAAGGACATTATAAAACCTATGGATTTAATATAAGCGTGTAGGAAAAATGTAAATTTCCTAAGATTATAAAGAATTATTTGAAAACCTACCACACCGATATATGGGTGCCCATGTTTATAGTAAGCACAATTTGTTGTAGCTAGATCTTGGAAACAACCCAAATGCCCATCAGCTGAGCAAACAGATAAAAAAGGTATGGTTTTTTTTATACAATGAAGTATTGCTTTGCTATAAAGAAAGATAAACTCAAGACTTTTATAGGATGCAACTAGAGGCCATACGCAAGTGAAATAAATCAGACCCACATATGTAAACATTGTATTGTCTCCCAGGTGTAAAAACCTGAAAAAGTCAATAATCTGAAAGGTACAGTAGATAGTGTGAAAGAGAAAGAAACTGTTCAAAAGGAAGGAACAACTGAGATGAAGGAAAAGAGAAAAGAAAGAAGGAAGAGAAAAAAGCATGTGTGTATGTATGGATATTTATGTATATATATATGTATGTATAGATACACATATGTATATACATACACAGGATATCTTGGATAATTGTGCTGCTGGTTTCTACTGATCTATTGTAAGGAACAGTTAATGCTTAAATTTTTTCTTTTTTCTTTTTAATTTCTTTGGAACAATTTTGCATGCTTATATCTAGTAATGTGAACAACTAATTTGAATATAATAAATATGAAATATGACAACCTTTGTTGAATTCTTATCATTTTGTTTAATGGTAGTCAATTTTGCCATGATACTTTTGTGAGTTCTTAATTTGTACCCATTTCCCAGAAGCAGGATGAGGCTCTTTGTCTCAGTGTCAGAAACCTGAAATTCTGGTACAGTTAATTCACATTTCAAATTCTCCAGAATCTTATTATTTATTACCTCCGTTTAATGGATACTCTTAAGTATTAGCAAGGAGTATTTAAATGTGTCATAAATGTACTTATGTTAAATTTTTGCCTTTTTCCAGTAACATTTTAAATAGGATGTTGCAGGCAAAATATTCTTGCAGGAGTTCTCTGTTGTGTATCATAGTAATTACCATTGTATTTAAAAAAAACTTTGTTATCACTTGTTTCTAATTAGTGGATTTTTGTGGAGTAGTGAATAAAAGTCTTTAAACTTCCAATCCTCTGAAAAACCATATTTGAAAAGATGAACATTCTTGTTCCTGTAACCCTTATCGATAGCCTTACTCTGTACTGGTATCTTGTACCGCTTCCCTCACAGGCTATGTTAAGAGACCTGGGGCATACCAGAGCGCAACTGGAGACTACTGCCTTCGATGTGCAGTTCTTCGTTTCTGAATATGCACAAGATCTGTCTCCCAACCAAAGCAAACAACTGCTGCGGCTCTTAAACGCAACTCAGAAGTATTTTCTCGATGTGCAGGAATCAGTAACTATGCAGGTGGAACGTTTAGAGATACAGTTACAGCTAGGACGAGATCTTGATGATCAGAAGGTTTGCTTTTCTTTGTGGATGGGGAATTCTTTATTTTTACTTCTTCTAGGTGAAGCCTTCATGTAATTGCCCATATATTTTAGCCTATGGGAACAGCTTTCCAGACAGGCCTTGGTTAGTACGACATAGTACAGCGTTCCTACAGTGTACAACAGCACTGTTTGTGTAATGATGCTCTACTTCAGATGATTTTAATTTTCATGACTCCTTAATGCTACTGACTCTTAAGTGGGACTCTTACTTTTTTTTTACCCTATAAATAGGAAAAATGCATGTACTCAGTAATTTCCAGGAGTCAGTTGAAGGCGGTCAAGAGTAGCGTCTTTTTCCTCAATGAAGTGGTTTGGCACAGATGCTCAGAGCGTGCCTTCTGCAGCCAGTTGCCTGTGTTTGTGGCATGCTGCCTTCTCCATTGTCCTGAAGACCCGGGGCAAGGCACTGCACCTCTCTTTTCTCATTGATAAAGTGGAAATAACTAGCAGTACTTACCTGGTAGCATTGTGAGCACTGATAAAAATTTATAAACACTTAGTACCTTGCCTAGCATGTGCTAGGCTTTTAGGAAAGACGACCTATGTTTACTGTGCCTGTGACATGGATGATCAGTGTACGAACAACAGGAAAGTGAAAGGTGCATGCGAGTTGGTTTTGACTCAGTCTTTTAGGAGATGTAGTGAATTTTATTATAGTACTATAATAGCAAGAATGAGTTAAAAATGGAAATGCAATTAGACACAGTGATTCGGGCAACATTGCATGCAGTGTTCTTTTATTATTTCTTGGAGCACAGGGCATTGTCTCTAACATGATAACCTGTTTATACATATCAGTTATGTTAACAGACAAGTCATCACTAACTTCTCTTTTGGTGTCCTTTTGCAGAATTAATTGTGTGTGTTGCAGGTTTCAAGAGCTTAAGAAAATGGGATGTTTCTTCCTGTCGGTCAGAAGTTCCATCTCTTACACATATGCATGGCCAGTATTCTGCTGAGTAACTTCACCCCAGGGGGCTCTTGCCCGTATTTGGGACATGCTCACTCTTTCTCTCTCTCCTTGCTCAGTTTGTACCCCTCTGCTATTATGTTTACAGCATACTTAAATAAAAGCTTAGGAGAGGAACTTTGGAATAGTGTGTGTTAGTCAGGTACTGTCACAGGTGATTTATGACCATGCACTGACGATGTTCGGGGTTTCTCCACTTTAGACGGTGGCAGAACGGCAGCAGGAGTACAAAGAGAAGCTCCAGGGGATATGTGATCTTCTCACCCAGACCGAAAACCGCCTCATCGGTCACCAAGAGGCCTTTGTGATTGGAGATGGCACAGTTGAGTTAAAGAAGTACAAGTCGGAGCAAGAGGTAGACTTGGGCTTTCTGCTGGCAGCTCTGTGTCCCTCTAGGTCTGATTACTGACATTAAGGCCACTGGGTGCTACCAGGAATTTTAGGGGTTTTTGGTCTGTTTGTTTTTTTAGAAGCAAGGCAGTCCTGAACTGGAACTTTTATGCTAAAAATTAGATTTACAACTTGAAGCAGGCCAAGTAATTTTGCTGGATAAAGTATTGGATGGAGGAGAGAGACACAGACTTGTATGAATTCAAATGGGAACCCATCACTTTGGCTTCTTGTTAGCTTATTCTTATTCCTTTCATCGTCTCGAAGGAAAATGGAAAAAATAACAGCTATCCTGACGTTGGTGTTAAGAGCATGAGCACTCTCACTGTAACTGCATAGTTCTTTGTTCCGGTTCCAGATCGTACCCATGGTTAGCTTCCTATCTGGAGCCTCAGTTTCCTCATTGCTATACTTGCGTTGCTACTTTATCGTAAAAGTTAAGTAGATATTACGAATTAAGTCATGAGCGGAGTTAGTGTCACAGAATAATTGGCCCAATAGGTAGGATCTGTAAAATTCCAGTAACTGCTCATAAAAATTTAAGAATGCTTAACCTATGAAGAAAACTATTAAAACTCACGCACAGCACCAGATGGAGGACAAAAGTGCATAATAAAAAGGGAAAGAATAGGGAAAATTATGTAGGGAAATTTCTTCTGCCAGCTCTAGAAAGCTGAAGTATGGTAAAGGAATCTTGAGCTTCGTAGTAGCCAGGCAGAGAAGGAAACATCACAGAGTATTATTGAGTTTGGTGTTTAGGAAAAAAAAAATCTTCATTCACTGAAGGAACTATTTCTTTTTTAATCTTGAGCAATAAATAAATATTAAATGTTTGAAAAGAGCAAATAATACTGTGTATTTTTAAGCCTTTGTAAAAATGTGTTAGAAATCTGGCATATGCATATTTGCATATATTATATACCAAAGACGTTAGGATTTCACAAAGTCCATTCTGTAAACCACATTCTTTTTTTAAGCATGAAAATTGCAAGCATTTCTGTAGATTTCAGATGATGTTAAATACAACTTCAAGCCAGCCAACAACTTAATATATTCAGTGTGCTTTCCAAGCTGCCTGGGTGGTACTCTGCTTGCCCCCTCTTAGAATTGTGACTGTGAGAGTTAAGTAGGTAATAATTTAACAGAGTATTTTTTCTTTTGTGTTACAAGGAATTACAGAAAGATATGCAAAGAAGTGCACAAGCATTGGCAGAAATAGTGAAAAACACAGAGAACTTCTTAAAAGAGAGTGGTGAAAAGCTGTCAGAAGACGATAAGGCTTTGATTGAACAAAAACTTAGTGAAGCCAAGATAAAATGTGAGCAGCTTAATTTGAAGGCAGAACAGTCGAAAAAGGAGCTGGATAAAGTTGTGAAGACAGCAATCAAAGAAGAAACGGAAAAGGTCCTTATTTCACATGTAGTGCATTATTGTTATGTCAGAAATGATTACTATAACATCCACTTGACTATTTATTAAGTGTATTTGGTGGTAATAAGTCATTATTAACCCCCAAACTAGAATTCATAGATTCCAGATATGTAATTGGCTAAATACTACAAAAGGTTTCGTGAGTTGTCATTCTTAAATTTTCTTAAAATTGTGGTCGGGTTGTAAGATGTATGCGCATTGATGAATTACAGAGGCAACTTCGGAGTATACACTATTTTTAAGCATAGTGACTGTGTCAGAGGAACTGTTGCTTTGACGGTTAATTTTACTGTTATAATTGCAGTGCATGTCAGTGTTGACAGTTTAAAATTATTCAGATTTTATGTCTGAAATGTCACAATGACACCTCAGCTTGCATTCATGGGATTTGGTGTGCATATTCCTGCCCAGGTTGCAGCTGTGAAGCAGCTGGAAGAGAGCAAAATCAAAATAGAAAATCTTCTGGACTGGTTGTCAGATATGGACAATGGCTCGGAAAGGGCGGGGACAGAGCACAAACAGGTCATTGAACAGAACGGGACCCACTTGGACGAAGGCGATGGCAGGTCGGTGATAGGGGAGGAGGATGACGTTAACGGGAACCTGCTGGCGGCTGACCTTGAGGAGCGCGTGGGAGGCACTGAGGAGAATCTGAACCGGCAGTACCAGAAGATCAAGGTGTGTTGGTTAAGCATGGTGCTACGGTCACGTTCTGTTTCCAGGAGAGCAAAAGATAGAGCTCACACAGGCCGTACTGATCACAGCAAAGGAAGTCCTTTTTCCCTAGGTTGTCATTATGCCAAATATAATTTAGTATGAGAGTTGCAAGCAAGTCAAAAGAATGAGAAATACGTCACTGCATGCGGCGCTGTCTTGTAACTGAAGCCGTATAGGAAATTCGTAAGAAGCAGTCATGGTTTATGTTCACGCGGCAGTGCCAGTGGGCCAGTCACTTTTGGTCTTTCTGCCTGAATTCACTTAGCTCTGCTATTATACCTTGAGGTTATTTTCATTTTATAGAAAACAATAACTTACAGAGCCAAAGGTCTCTTCCCCGATCACACCTGGAGAATTGCACTTGAGTTTAAACTCAGCAACTGCATGGCCGCGGTGGTACACAAGCCTTCTCTTGGTCCGCAAGTGTCTGCACTGTGCTGGGCTTGAGTCCTTTCTGAGGTCACTTCCTCCAGACAGGTTGGGTTAAAAGCCCTTCAAAAAATATCTTGTATGGTGGACATTAAAACTTAGGAGAAGTATTTTTTTTTTAAATTTCATATAATTAGTTTTTTTCCCCTCATGTTTCCCTTTGCATGATTAGACTTTAGGAACTTTTACAGTGCTGTTTTCCTTCAACTCTTCCTTTCAGGTTCTTTAGGATAGGATATTCTCTGTGAAGTTTTTATATAAAATACAAATTAAGCCAGGAGAAGAGCAGCAGTATTCACCATGTCCTGGTTTCAAGACTCTGTCACAGGACCTTATTATAATTGTCTCTAAAAGTGGAAAATCTGATGTATTCCTAAAGGAAGTTCATGAGTCAGTTACAGGAGTGTCAAGAAAAGTTTGTAATCTGATAAAAGTAACAAAAAGTATCAGTAAGTGGACCAGACATAAAGGTGTCATGGAACAGCTCTCTTTTCAGTCCACAATGTGACATTTTCTTCTGCTCTTTGGGCCTGTCAGAGTGTGGGCATCTGGCAGTGTGAGAAGGTCTTACCTGCATTGGCTGGTGGTGCACCCCAGGGGTCTCCATCCCTCTACAGTTGTGCCCTGGCCGCAGCCCTACCATTCTCCAGCTGTTGAAGGAAGAGGACCCATCAGATAGTTCATGAATTCTGCCAGCTTTAATTATGTGCAAAGCCCTTCCAGAGAGTAGCCTGTGATGTAATTCAGGCTCCACAGATGCGGTCTGTGAGGAGGATTCGGTCATTGTGGGGTGTGCATTGTTCAGACAGTGAGGGTCCACATGAGAGGTGTCTGCTCTTAGAAGTGGGGTCATCTTACAGCGGCGCTTCTGAGTCTCTGGGCCTTCCTAGCTCACAGCGTATGTTCACTCTGCTCTTTGGGCCAGCACTGCTCTGGGCACTCGGCAGTCCCCAGTGAGCAAAGTCAGTTCCCTGTCGCACTGCTTGCCTGCAGAGGGGAAGGTGGGATGAATGACAGTAGACAAAGCAAAGCAGCGTGTTACACGAGAAGGTTCAGCGTGCTGAGTGGAAAGATTTAGGCCTTGGTAATGGTGGTTAAGTGTGGGTTTCGTACCATTTTCAGCCTGCAAATAGGGCAGTCAAGGTGGGGTTCACTGAGGAGAGATCTGTGCAAGGACATAAAGGAGGCAGGGGTTGAGCCAGGTAGATCACAGAGCAGTCACTAGCAGGGGTGAAAGGTCTGTGAGTCTCTCCAGCTGGGGTGGGAGCAGCATGGATGGCGTAGAGGTGAAAACTGGCCCTCAGGTACAGGAATTAGGATGCGTGGCTCCGTAAAAGCCGCCGTGAAAAATGTAGTTCTGGCAGAACTTTTGCAGAAGGACCCAGAGATGCAAGAGCAGAGAGGGAGGGGAAGGAGAGGAAAGGGGGTAAAAAGAAGAAGATGCACATGTCCCTGTGCCAGCACCCACGGGGAGTGCGATCACTGTGTCCTGCAGTGTGTGCTGTAGTAAGGGAAAGTAACCCTTGTTGTACTCGTGTGGCATACTGGGAAAAGAAACTTACGGCTGGAGGGAAGGGGTACCAACCATCCGAGGCCCACTTGCTGCCCGCAAGCTGAGCTGGTGTTCAGTGACTCCACATGGCTGAACCTGTTTGCAGCCTCCCAGGGGGCTGTGAGCCCAGGTGCCTTAGGCTCTGCAGGTTGTGCACTGTGCGTGTGACCTCGGGCCATTGTCTCGGTGTTGACAGGTGGGACCCAGATACTAAGTAGCAACCCCAGAATTCTTTATATCTGTTGCCTTCACTTGGATGTGGCTTTTCTGGACATTTAATTGTTGAAATGTTTTTCTAGTTCTAATAGTACATATTCTTTTTTTTTTTCCTATTTTCATGACCACTTCAGTTCCTTTTGTGTAGTCATAAGGAAGCAATGAGCAGACTGAGAATTAGATTACAGACAGTTATTTTAGTATCGGAATATAAATTTGTGATTACCTAAGTACTTGTAAGAAGATTTAGAAACTTTCTTTAAAAGAGAGAGCCCCATTGCAGCTCTCGTGATTCTGAAGTTCCGCAGAGCAAAGTGTAGCGATTAGCTTGGGAAGGGGGGACAGTGGCAAGCTGAAGGCCCCGCGGCCCGTTGCCAGCCGTCCAAGGCCATCGGAAACTCCAGGCTGCGTTAAAGCTGCGTTCACTTTGTCCTCACACAGGCTCAGCACGAGAAGATCGTCTCCCAGCACCAGGCGGTCATCATTGCCACACAGTCCGCCCAAGCCTTGCTCGAGACACAGGGCCACTATCTCTCTCCTGAGGACAAGGAGAAACTGCAGAAGAACATGAAGGAGCTGAAAGCACATTATGAAGTGACACTGGCCAAGTCAGAGAAGAAAATGAAGTTAACGCACTCCCTGCAAGAGGAGTTAGAAAAGTTTGCTGCTGATTATGGCGAGTTTGAGCACTGGCTGCAGCACTCAGAGCAAGAGCTTGAGAACCTGGCGGCGGGGGCGGACGACCTCGGGGGCCTGCCGACCGCGCTGGGCGGGCAGAAGAGCTTCTCCGAGGACGTTATTTCTCACAGAGGTGACTTGCGCTACATCACCATTTCTGCAAACAGGGTATTGGAAGCTGCCAAATTGTGCAGTAAGAGAGAGGGCAGCAAAGTTGACAAGGATGACGTGGACACATCTGCCACCCACAGAGAAGTCCAGGGCAAGCTCGATCATGCCACGGATCGGTTTAGGACTCTCTACTCCAAGGTAATTTTGTTACCTTTTTTCCAAGAGGAAAGTCAGTATGTGATTATAGTGTGCGCTATGTCCTCTTAGCTTTTGTTTTGATTTAGAAGCAGGAAACCTGAAAACCTATATATCTACTTTACTTTTGAGAAATGTGCTTAAAGGTAGGAGCTTAAGTTTATTTCCTCGGAGAGTGACTCCAGGAAGCCGTAGTACAATCTGATCCGGACTTGAGCAGCAGACAGCTGTGGTGCCTGGACCAGAACGTAGCGAAGCTGGAGCAGTGTGTCTCGGTACTCATCTTCCCTTTGTAGATGCAAGACCTCGTACTTGATGACTGACAGGCTTTTTGGTTCTTTTAAATCTCTAAGCAAGTAAAACATTAGGGAGGTGCCTAAGAACCGAAGCTGCATAAATGAGTTTTTAAAAAATCCTTCATTCTGACTTTAATTTTAATTTTTACTGTTTGTCCTCTTTGTATTAATCAACCTTGCGCAAAACATGATAATCATCTATTTATCACCTTGTAAATTTTACCATCAGTTATATACACAGAGTGTAGACAAAACTCAGAGAATCTGATGCGAGATGCTTTCAAGTTCTATAAATCTAGCATTATATCCTGATTTTTGTGGTCACTTTTAACTGTCTCCTATAAAGTAAAACCCTTAGCCCTAAAACTTGGCTTGGAGGCTCTTTTTCAGTTACATAGTTCACAGATCTTAGGTTAATCTGACATATGAGAAAACTGGGTTTTAATCTCCATTGCCTCCTCTGTTTTGCTTTTCAGTGTAATGTTCTTGGAAATAATCTTAAAGACCTAGTGGATAAATACCAACACTATCAGGACGTGTCCTGTGGACTTCGGTCTGCACTGCAGGCTTCGGAGGCCCTGGCCAGCAGACAGTTACTTGAACCTGTTGCTGTGGACCCCCAGAATCTACAGAGGCAGTTAGAAGAGACCAAGGTAAGAACAAAACAAAGAGGGGAGAGAGATAGTTCTTCATTAATCTTGCTGAAAGTCTTCAGTTTCCCATACTTGGCGACAGTTTCACCTGATGAAGTGAAACAAAAGAGGGGACGAGCTATTTCTCCCTCCACAGGGAGCCGTAACTTGACTTTGCCACAGATCTGCTTGCCATGCAGTTGGCTTGATGCTACTTTTACACCTCACTACCTGTATTTCACGACCCCTCTCCAGGTAAACAAAGCCCAGGATTGTCAAGCCATTTGGTCTTGTTTAAGTTTTTCCTTTTCCATTATAATTAAGCTCTGTGGGAACATATTCATATCTGTTTTATTCATTGCTGTATTCCTAGCACTTATACTATTATCTGATGTAAAGAGATTACTCATAAAATATTTGTTTTAAGAATTAACAAGCAGAAGGAAAAACGGAATGTCACTGTAATATTCAGGATTTCTATGGGCCAATGTTGAGGTTCTTAGAAATGTAAATCTCAGTTATTACTAGCATAGTTTTCCAAAAGTCTACCTATGGGCTGAGGGTATAGCTACAATGGTACAGTGCTTGCCTTGCATGTTCAAGACCAAATTCAGTCCCCGACATCTGTGTTTTCAGAAATGCAGGCTTGATGTCATACATGATTAGGGGAGTCTATAGTAGTAGAGAAAGTTTCTATTCTACTTTTATTTAAAATACATTTTAAAATTCTTACATAATGGGAAATAGTTTCAACATACTCTGTTGAAATTCATTATGAGTGTGATTTTGATTTTAAAAGTTTCATTTTTATTTTCTGTTCTTTTTTTTTTTTTTAGCTTTTGTCACCACAAATAGGAAGTAAACGCAATATTGACAGCTAGAAGACTGCTTTTTAGAATTTAGTGACCTGATAGTTATTGAGTAAAAAGCCATCATTGTACTGTTAACATGGAAAATAGGTACCTTCCTGGGTGGGCTGATAGTCAGGCGTGGTGCAATGCAGGGGTGTCTGGTGGGAAGAAGGCAGGCAGAGTCACTTTCCTCGTTGCGAGGACAGAATACCTGGCACCACAGCTTAAGGAAGGCGAGGCTTACTTTGGCTCATGCTTCAGTGTGCGTAGGTAGCTGGCTGGCTCTAAGACAGGGTGGCATGGCAGAGGGGCTGGCGGAGGAGAGCTGCTCGTGGAGGGGTGCGCAGGAAGCAGAGCCCGGAGGAGCCAGGCCTCCAGCGGCCTGCCGCAGCCAGTCCCTCCTCAGAGCAAGCTGGCTATGCTGCCCCATATTTCAGTCACCTCCCAAGAGCCAGCTTGGAGGACCTGTGGCCTTGGGGTTGGGCAGCTACGACATAAGTGAGTTCAGTGTGGCAGGTAAGGACCAGAGGGAAAGCCAGCCAGAGGGACAGAGTGTTTTTTGGTTTCTCTTTGCTGAGGCAAAATGCCCAGCACCTAAAGTTAAAGGAGGAGATGTTGGTTTTTGGTTCACAGTTTGTAGAGGTTTCAGTCCACCACCAGCTGGCTCCAAAGCAGGGTGGTATGGCAGAGGAGAAGTAGTTCATGGCGGGTAGGAGGGAGCAAAGTGGTGAAATGACAAAGAATAGCAAGTGACCACCGCAGCCCTCTCCCTGTATCCTGTCCCTTGTGTCCTGTGCACGCTTCCTGCCTTTAGGACAGGTAGCACTCACACCCTGGGTGGACTTTGCCATTATCCATGTCCAGAACTGTGCCAGACCAGTCAGGGGACTGATTTAGCAGTCACACACTCCTGGGCCTGGCATCAACCATTCCAGTCCCAGCCACCTGTGCAAAGCCCTACTGTTCCCTACTGTTCTCACGGGACGCTTTGGGGGATGTCTAAGCATAGCCGTAGGAGAGGCAAAGGAGAAGGAGGGAAGAGGGGTGAGGATGCGGAGGGCGGAGGGCGCTGCGCCTTCCTGGGCTGTAGCGCGCACCCCTCCCCTCAGCAGCTGTCCCGGAATGCTCAGGGACCCAGCTGATGTGGCATCCCTGGGGTTATTTCCGACTTTTAGTGTATACCTTCTAGCCTGCTGCTTGTTTTTATTTTCTTCTTCTTTTCTACAAGCATAAGAATAGAGAGGTTACATTTTCACATCTTGATTATGTGTTCAGGACAGTGTTCAGGCAAGCGCAGAGGAGATACTGTGATTTGAAGGCCATATTTTTGGCAAGAAACGTCAAGAGTTTAACATAATTATGAAGATTCATCATGTTACATTTAATGAAGAAGTTTGTGTAGGGATCTGCTGGTCTCAGTGTGATCCTTTCCACCCTGGGAAGAAATGAAGGCAGGAATGAGGAAAAGATAGCTAGGAGCTGGGTTAGACATAATAGTAAGAGCCTTTATTAATACTCGTGCATAGTAGTAAGACACAGGGTTGCTTAGCAACCAAGAGCCCACAATGTCCAGGCAGGATGCTTTTCTTAAGACCAAGGTAGCATGACTGCTTTAGGCCATGAGGCCTCACCCTGCCCTCCCACGTAGGATCAATTTCAGGTTTGGCAGCTCCCAACAGTTAGTGGGAGAAGACTGTGAAGATGCCCAGAGGACAGTTGTGTTTATGTAACGAGGAGGGAGAGATGGAACAAATGCTGTGGACCCAGAGCAGTGCCCAGTGAGCATGCAGTGTGGCCTGGGCTTCAGCCTCATTTTGAGTAAAGTTCACATTTATGAGACTTCTCCCCCTTTCTTAACTTCTGGGAAGATTTCACAGACAGATGCACTCTGTTCTGGCTTCTTTGGCCTCTGGGAACAGATGTGGGATCTGTATTCAGATCTCAGATCCCATGTTGGGCATACTTTGGTGGGTCTTTCAGTATACACACACATACACATACACATATGCACACACACACACACACACACATGGGGAGGCCTATGTGTCACATAGTTCTTATATTGTAAAAATTAAGGAAAATGTTGCCTTTAGGTAGAGACATAGTAAATATTCATAAATAATGCTGTAATAGGGTATCTTTTTAGGTTTTATGCTTGATATCTGCATTTATTATTAACTTATTTATTTTAGGAACTTCTAGCAAGGCCTAGAAGGCCTTGAAAGCCAAATGAGGTTAATTCCCAGTTGCAAGAAGGTTGTAGTTTGATACAAGAGATAGATAACTCGATTCGCATTCGTGGGGCATTTATAGACCCTTCCAGGAGGAACACTGAGCCCACGTAGGTGAGGCGAGAGCTAGGACAAGTTCCTGGCAGAGTATTAAAGAGTGAAGAGGAGCTGGGCTGTTGGTGGGAGTGGGCTGCGTTGCCTGAAAGGTCGCTAAGTGGAGACGAGAAGGCCTCACATGAACAGATGAGACATAGCTGTTGGGCATTTCTGGGACAGGAAGTTGAGAAAGATCACGGTGAAAGGATAGCCTTCAAAGGGATAGCCTTCATTCTCTTTATGGTGTTCTCAAACCTTAGCCGTTATTATGAGGGAAAACTATGAACAATTTTAAATAAAGGAGTGATACATAGTCAGGTAGGTACTGAATATGTTAAGAGCTTTTTAGGGAAACCGCTGTAGGCCAGAACACATTTAGGAGTCTTTTTTAGTAATCCCCATGTGAAGGAGCAGAGCCCCGTTCATGCCTCATAGTAAAGTTTTTAGGACTCGGTGCTGGGATTTGCATTAGGGAAGATAAAGTCTGGGAGAAATCTCGGGCTGGGTACCTGGGTACTTAGCGGGGGGCCAGCGTTACTCTGGGTCCATTTGACCTCCTTTACAGCACTTGTTCTGTCTCCCCTTCCCTGTCACATAAATACAGGTGTCCTCTGGCGGTCTTCACAGTCTTCTTGATGCTGCTGGGCTTTCTCCGTTAGTGGTCCTGTCTTCCATCTCTTTATATCAAGTTCCTCTTGTGTTTGCGGCTCCCTTCACTGCCGCTTCTGCTCTTCCCTTCTGTATAGTCTCGAAAGCACTTTGAAGTCCTGAACTCCAAAATAGGTTCTCCTTTCCTCCTACACTTGTTCTCATTCGTGTGTACAAATTCTGTATATTACTGGTGTGAGGGGTGGAAAATGAAGGCTCCCTCTCTCCTCTTCGCCCCTCACCGTGATTCCCATCCTCTGGAGCAGAGAATCTGTGATGCTGGAAATGCCCTGTCCGTCCTCTCTGATGTGGTGGCCACCAGTCACCAGAAGCTACGTAGTACTTGAAGTGTGCCCGGTGCAACTGGGAAATTTTTTATTTTATTGCATTTCAGTGTCAAAGTCCCACATGGATTTGTTTAGTGGCTACTGTACTGGGCAGCACAGCTTTAGGTAACTTGACCTTCTTTGTGAGAAGAACTAACTCCACTGTCTCATGTACCCTGGGCAGAGTCCTTGGGGCCTCTTTGTAGTTACTGCCGGGGGTGCTCCCAGCTGGACTCTCTTCTGCATTGCTTTCCCCTGAAGATTCCCCGTGCAGTGCTACAGAGTCAGCCCCCCGGAGGTCAGTCCTGAGCATACGCTCACTGCCTACTCCCAAGTCTTGAGTAGTTCTCTGTAAACTGACATTGAGGGCCTTTCTACCTATGTTTGTGTTTATTCACTGTGTGTTTAGTCCTCACGCTGGGTGGCACTCCTCTTCTCCTGAGATACTTCTGTCCTGTCTTTGTGCTTTGCTGTTCTCCCTCTGCATTCCTGCAGGTGCGCATGCACACTGTCTGCAAGGCCTGTTCCGTGCACCACCGGCGTGGTGTCCTCCATTGTGCTTCCTGGTTATCTTTCCTCTCAGCATCTAGGATGCTTTTACTTACTCACCTTTGACACTTAACACTCCCTGCCATAGGCCATAGATTCCTGTCTGTTTCACTTTTGTATTTTCACAGAATGTGGCAAGGCTACTGAAAACTTGTTAGTGTGTGGTAACTTTTATGGAACTCACAGAAATAAATATGACTTAGTAGGAAATCAGGATCTGCTGACACAAAAGTCCCTGATTATCTCTACCTAGAGTCAGAAATATTCCCCGAGGTTCTCTGTGTTTGGTTTCGTCCTAGTGGTAGTACAGGTGCTGTGCAGAAGTCATAATTGGGGATCTTAGATGAGATGAGGAAGGGTATAGGGTCAGGGAGAAGAGAAATGATTGGGAACCAGGTCTCAGTGGTTTATTTCAAAACTGAATTTGTGTTATTCGGACTAGCTGGTGCTATGTGTATAATGGTCTCATTCTGAGAACTACAGAGAAGGCTCATATGATGAAAATTTCTACAATAAATATTCAACTTTTCCCTATTGGAATCTATTATTTTGTCCTCAAGTATAATTGAAAAACCTTTAATCCTATAGGCTCTGCAAGGACAGATATCAAGTCATCAGGGTGCTGTTGAGAAACTGAGAAAAACAGCAGAAGCGCTGTTAGATGCAAGGGGTTCCTTACTTCCTGCCAAGAATGACATTCAAAAAACTCTGGGTAAGAGATTCGGAATTTTGCTGCCTCATAGGTGAATTCTAAAAAGTCTAGTAGATATTAATTATCTGTGAACTTTCTCAGTGAAATGATGACGTGTGTGGGAGTTACTGTACCTTTGCGTGCATGCATATGGGAAGTAATAATTCCTATAGCAGGTGACAACTGTTTTACCTCAAATAGAGAATGAATTAGAATCTGAGTAGAAATTTTATGAACAGAAGGATTTAAGTTTCAGCTCATTGATCTGAAGCCGCTCTATCGCAGGGAAATCCTTTCTTCATTCTTACTGTCTTCTAGACTCTTTGAGCCTGTTGCCCCATCAGTAACTTCAGTTTGCCCCATACGTGTACATGCATTTAAGAATTGTATGCACATGTTGCCATATTGTCATATCCTGTGCGTTGTAATTATAAATTGCAAAGAAACAAGGAATCTTAAGGTGTAATGAAAGTATGATGGAAATCTAACCTTGTGTTCCTCTACCCCGTGCATTAGTACGTACCTCCACATTGGAGGCCAGCTCTAGGACAGCAGGCCTGTCAATTTAAAGGAGTAAGAAACAAGGTCTTCATTATATTTTTGTTACATTTGACATTTTTCTTACTGTTTTTTGTACATAGTTTCATTTTGAGTTGTTTAAACTTCATACTACATTAAGACCTGAAAGTTGCTTTCTAACATTATTTTCTAGGGTTGTGTGAAAATGTATGATACCAAAGATTTTCTCTAAAGTCTTTCTGATTTAAAGAAAAGCAGCAACTTTAAAAAAATCAACTTTCTTGCAGTGGGTTTTGTTTTGTACTCGATCTAAAATAATTTTAGTGACTGAAGTCAAGAATTTGCTACAGTGACAGTGTTTTTCACCAGAGTGAAAAAGTACAGAATAAACTTAGTTCAAATTTCTGTAATGAAAATACCGTGGACCGGACAGCTAAAACAGCAGACTTTGGTTTCTCGTGCCTCTGGAGGCTGGAAGTTCAGCGCCAGGGCACCGGTGCCGTCTGCTCCCTGGCAGGAGCTTTGTCCCGGTGTACAGCTGGCCACTTCTTTGCTGTACCAATGCATGGCAGAGGACATTGGCAAGAGCGCCTCTCCCTCAGATCCTTCCTACGAAGGCGCTTAAACCCACTCATGAGGCGCCGCCCTCACATCCAAATTTCCTCCTGGGGAGAAGGGAAATGTGCAAGCGCTTTTCCTGTTTGCACTTTCCTGTCTCCCTCCCACTTAGCGCTCCCCAGATCCCCTCTGTGATGTCCTGCAGACAGCAGTTAGGTGTCCTAACGCAGTTCACCTCTGATACTGTCTTGTAGAGATAGCGTCGGATCCCACAGTGCCCCAAGTGCTCCAGCTGCCCCCCACTTCAGTGCCAGTCACAGGGCTAGCTTGAGACCTGAGTGGAGGCCTGCCCAGCTATAGCTTGAGATTCCCGTGACCTGCTCCGTGGATTCAGTTGGTTTTCTAGAGCAGCTCCCAGCGCTCGGAGAAGGCCCTATGTTCGCCCGGTTAGCAGAAGGCTATTGCAGAGAATACAGATGAGCAGCCAATGGGAGAGAGGCTGGGAGGGGTGAGGAAGAGGGACTAGAGTTTCCGTGTCTTCTCGGGTCTCCACCCTCCAGGAAGCTCCATGGCGCCAGCCACCAGGGACCTCCTGGCACCCATCCTTGTAGGGTTTCATTTCTGCCCCTGAGCATGCTCGATTAGGCCCTCAGCTAAACTGAACATCCTCCACCTCCCTGGACAGAGGTCAGTGAGTGGGGCGAAAGTTGCAGTCTTCTGATCCCATCGCCAGTTCCCTTCACAGCTGCCACCTGAGGCCATCCAGAAGCCTGCCAAAGTCACCTCTTCAGAATGAAAGACACTTCTGCCACCCAGGACATTGCACGAGATTCAGAAGCTCTGTGTCAGGAACTGGGTTGGGGGCCCAGTATCAGAAGGAGACATTGCAGTGCTTTTGATTGCTCTGTAAGTTACAAGGTGGTTCTAGAGCTCTACCTCAGGAACCATGACCGTCACCATAGAACAGCCTCACACCTTCCAGACTCCAGATAGGACCACTTTAGGGGTGGTGTCTGCACTTGTATCTTGGGGGGACACAGGTATGTAGTCCACAGCAAACAGGAACACTCACAGTGTGTCGTTTTGTGAGTACGGCTGCCTTTGCTTAGAGAATCGAGTATTATAGTTATTAAAGTGTCACTGGTGTCACTCTGCTTATTGTTGCCGTGCTATGGCCCAGTGAAGAGCAGCTCCCCTGATGGTCTCCAAGCTGCAGTTGAGGACTCTGGAGTTTCTCAGATAGAACTTGGACCTCTGCTCGTAGCACCTCACTGAACACTGAAGGCCTTCTCCAGGCCCGGCGTTCACCCCTTGTGTGTGCCTGGAGAGTGTGGGCGCCCCGGCGCTTCAGTCAAGGGCCTGGTGATGACTGTCAGTCGTAACTTACCCTCCTCAGTCAGTGAAAATTTAACAGGCTACGCGAGGACGATAAAAATGCTGCTTTGTTATTTGGATTATGTTCCATCGCCAAACACTCACTTATAAAGTAGTTTTGGATCATAGCTTTACATCAGGCTAAAGTATTTACCAAGAGTTAAAAATACCTGGCAGGTTCTTAGATGGTATATTGTGAGTAAAATATAGTTAAAAACAGATTGTTTTCCAAACAGCCTTGTGGGAAGGTAAATACACTGCCCTTTGAACTTGTTGATTTTGATTTTGATTTTTATTAGCGTTTTAATAATTAAAATTGAGGCCAGCCAGATAGCTCAGCAGACTAAAGCGCATGCCTAGGCAGAGCACAGGGACTGGGGTTCAATCCCTGTGTATGGTGCCACCCTGCACCCCACCTGGGGAGGGGGTGCTGAGAAGGTAACTAAGACCAGCGCTTGGGAGGCTGAACACAGGAAAATCACTATGAGTCCTGTCTGTGTAGTGAGACCGTTAGATCCTGTACTAAATACATAAAATTAAAAAAATAATA